TCCAACCGTCACATCCAAGTTCAATGGATCAAGGGACGTGCAGGAGTCAATCCAATACATTTCAGAAGGCGGAAAAGGATGGGTACTTGAACAGATTGTGATTCAAACGTTGACAAAGCATCAGTTGTAGGCTCAACAATCCTAAATCAAACCTCTCACCACTGACGGCCAGCTAAAACGTACATGTAGCACAGATCAAGACCCAATCAAGCCCCAATCAAGGGGTACACTAGAGGTAGGCAACGGAAACTCGTAAGAATAGTCCAGGAAATATCTTTGTAGACACCTTATGCTAATAAACTGTGACAGCGGCTCCATGAACAACCCAAATAGCGGCCCTACGGTGAGTAGCATTATCTGCAAGTGCAGCTTGCGATTTTGCTAAGCGCATAGACGACCCGCTCAAAGAGAGCGATAAACAGAGCTTCAAGCGCACAAGTACTAACTGATGAGTGGTCTCTGAGCGGTCAAAGGATAGATTCAAGAGGCTCGACTCCTTCAAAGCCTTCTTTCCAAGGTGTATCATTGTACAAATACCAACCTTCTGAAGAAGCAAACGACCATCAGATCGCGTCCATTGTAGTTGACGTCCTGGATAAACCGATGCGCCCCTGGAACCTTGGCGTCTTCGTCCGCAATCTCCTGCTCCATCCTCTGAGTCAGGATGGCGTTAAGGTCGTCCCACGACTTCTTCGCCCCCCCCCCCGCTTTTCCGCGTCCACACTCCCCTTTGCGTTTTCGGCTTGCTTGTAGCTTTTTGGCGCCTCTCCGGGGTGCCTGGCTTTGGCCTGCATCTGCCTCCGGATCTTATTAGCTGACTCTCCCACTGAAGCACGTCGCTTCATCTCCTCCCGGGTCGACCGGAAGATCTTCTCAAAGGTTAAGTCGAGGTTGTGGACGCGGTTTCCGTGCGGATCTGCCCTGACTGTTGTCTCGTCGCCGACAAACTGTATGACCACGTACTTGCCACCTTCGTTCCCCTGTGGATCCACGCCTACCCACACCCGTCTCTCAAACTTCCGATCTTTGTGCAGCGGCTCACCGGAGGCCCCAGAACGGTGCTGAAAGCATTTGCCTTTGCAGTCGTCTTCTCCGACGGCGCTGCAATACTCGTCATGGTTGCAAGACGAGCTGTGCTTCCAATATCTGCTCCGGAGCTTTCCGCCGTGGACGGGTTTGGCCCCGTTGTTGAACCACCTTCCACCGGAAGCATATAGAGCATCCTCTTGATGCTCCATCTGGGAACGGTCTACAACAAAGACCGTTCCGCCACGTGGAGCGTACGGTGGCCGCTTGCTGACCAAACTTGGCGTAACATTCATACCGTCGACAAGCTTGTCGACCTCCTCCAAGCTTAACCAGTCCGCTCGGCGCTCGTAAAGTACGCAGCCATAGCCGTAAGCGCTCCCAGGATCCAATCCTCCAACGCTCGGGCGAGCTCTCTTGCCAGTTGGGCCTGCACAAATGGAAACCCTTCAATTTGTCCCTGTTCACACATTTCCACTTGGTCAGCCAGGAAATCGAGATCAAGGCTGGTAAACATGACCGAAATCTGAAAGCTTAGTGCTTCTCTTTTTTTGTAAAGTTGCACGGCCTGAAAGGTGACCCTTTGTCTACATTGAAAGCTTGTGCTATGATCACTAGGGGACTACGGATCGCCCAAAGTTGATCTGCTTTACATGGGTCACAAAGCGGGACGACTTGACGTTGGCCAATGGATTTTGTTTGGCAGCCGCCCTCTGATATGGTAGCTGGAACGAAGCAACCGGGACTGACTCTAACAATGACCAACTTGCTTGCATGATTCTGATTGAGAGCTTCGAGTTCAGGTGATGCATCAATGAAGTTGGCGATCTACAGGTCTGCCGGCGCCTCGTCCTCATGCGGCCTCTGCCAGGATGCAAAAGGTTGAATACGAAGGCGGCTAGTTTGTTCAGTACAACGTGAACTCAAAACTTCTCAATTGAACAGCAGCTTGTGTACAGTGTCATAAGTGTGATGATGGGTGCAAGAATCTTGAAGCTAGAAACTCCAAGAACTTTGTTGGACAAGGACAACATGATTCGCTTTCTAGATATTAGTGTATGGAAATGTGTGAAGAAACAATTAGCGGCCACCAGCCTTGATCCGCTGAAAAGCTCGCTTATGACCTACGTCGCCAAACTTATACTCACTGAAGCAAGCCTCTATTTCTCACCAGGCCTAGCTTGGTTGCATTCTTACCATCCTCCTCGTCTGAGGATTCGAGATTAACGAAGTCCGGTCGCACTCCTGACGAACCACCACGTGCCGCCGCGCCGGACTGCTCGTTGGCCGAAGCCTGCCCCGCTCCTCCGGGTGGGCCGGCGCCATCCGGCACGTTTTGGAAAGGAGGCTCATCATGGTCTGAATCTTCCTCGGACTCTGATTCGGAGTCTATCTCCGATCCGCTCCCGCCCCCCCCGCCACCAGCAGCCAAACCCTCCACGACTGCATCGAACTTCGCCAAAAGAGCCTCCGCCGGTGGGTCAGACAACAAGTCGAAGACCTTCTCAGCAACTTCCTCCGCCTTTGCGCTCCCCTGAGCGCTCAACCGGGTTTGGCTCACATCCAAAAACACGGAGTCTTCAGCTCGCAGACAACCTTCTTTCGCACACTTCGAGTACCACTGGAAAGCCCCGCCCCAGTCCTCCGCATCAAAGCACGCCTTTGCGATTGTGCGATACAACCTTGCCTGAAGCCGCTCCTCCACCCCGAGAAGCAGAGCTTCTTTAGCTGCAACCAGCGCGCCTTCGCATGCTCCGCGCTCCTTGCTATGTTGGAAAGCCAAGGCTCGCACATAGTGAGCGTGCCCTAGAAGCGGCCATTTTTTCAACGCCCGTTCGGCTAGCTCCAACACTTGCGCGAGCGGAGCCCGGTCATTCCAAGGACGTCCAGGGGCACAATCCCTCCAAGTGTCCTTTGCCGCATCCTCCTTCCCCTCCGCCAACTGTTTCAAGATTTGGGTGGCGGTCCTGTCCAGCGTTACCGCTGACGTCTCTTTCTGGTACAACGGCCCGATATCATCCTCTGGTATATAGGCGTCGTAGTGGTTGACCCCGTTGAAGCGCAGGTGTAGCGGGCGAAGCGTCCCACCAGCTGCTTGCTCGGGCGTGAACCGTTGGGCGTGCTTGACGGCAAGGAAGGGAGCATAGACCAAGATTTCCACGCCCACAACGTCGGACAAAATCTGTACAAAGCAAACCATAAAACTTAGTTGATAGCCAACTGGTCGAAACTGGTCAAAGTTGGAATATGTAAGGCTTCACTCGTATTAAGCGTACCCACAAGAAGCAGCAGCCCCGGTGCTTGATCGAATAGAAGCCTTTCAAATACAGTAGCATCGTACGTGGCACAAACGGCATGGGCGGAAATAAAGAGTGAAGCAATGGTAAACATGCACCAAGCATTCTGAAATTACTACTCTGGTACACTCTCTACAGCCAAAAGAAGCAATGGTTTTGAACGGGTATGACGCTGCCATTGGCAGACATTCAGCAAGGAAAACGCGTAAGAGTTTCAAATTCAAGTGTTGCTTCCGTGAGACTTCGGTACGTCACTAACATCCGTCGACCATGGCGTGCTACGAAGACCAACGAAGGACGCCTACCCTTCAAAGCTCCCTCATTGATGACTTGTACATACCAACCGCTCACCCGAATCACTCTGTCCCCTAAAATATGGTTGAAGCCCCGTTCCTCGTACTGCTCAATCAAAACCTCCAACTCCAGCTCGAGATCGCCATCAATGGAATAGCGACCGGTATGGGCCCGAGCTTGTTTCCAGGTGTTGTCCATCAAGCCGCGTAAACCTCCCTGATAGAGCTTCCCTTGTGCCAACATGCCCACAAATACTGCCTTGAAGATGCAAAGGCCATCCTTAGGAATGTCATAGCGCTTCAGGAAGGGTTCCTCCGCTGCGCACGCCACAAAATGCGTCCAAGCATTAGTATTTGGATGCATCCAATCAGTTGGAAAACGATCTAGGTGGTTCACTGTCTTAAACCGATCAGCGCACAAAGCATGGACGATCAAACGGATCAAGGCTCGTGCACCGGGCTTAAAAGTTTAAGATTTTGTGGCAAACAGAAGGATCAGCAAAGTATTTGGGGCGTAAGCATTTGTGGAAGCGCCTGTGACCTCTTCACGTTTGCTTTGCTGAGAATTGCCGGGACGCGTCCCTTTTCAGAATCGTACATGGAAACATGTACCACCGAGTAATCGAACAGACGGATCAAGGCTCCTACATCTGCCTTTTCGCTAGAATGTACGGAATCAACAAAGCTTAAACGGCCTGATGGTTAAAATTTCAGAGGCACTGTTGGCAGATCTTCACGTAGATCTGCTGAGGGTTGCTTGGAACCAGGCTCTTCCGTACAAAGATTTATGCGCGAACAATTGGCCTTTTGTACCAAGGCTCCTGAAAATTGTCGCATTCCCTTTTATGAACATTGAATTTGATGCAAGCTTTGATCCGACTTTTGTCGGAATCAAGTGCAGGGCACAACTCGCGCGAGTTGCAGGTCGAAAAGTTGCAAAGAAGCATTGACAATGACGATCATGGTGCAGTAAAACGTGCAAACGAAGCTCTTGTGGTGCGGATCTGTCACCTGGCCAACTCCCTGTCTGCAGCTTCTGGCTCGACGGCCGGGGGGTCCTGTTTCCGAGTTGGCTCTGGTACGCGTGCCTCTTCGGTGGCCCGATAAGTCTCTTCCCTTGGGACGCTGGCAAAAGAAAGTGTAAAAACTGCCTTCGAACAGCATCAGAGTCGTTCGTATTGATCTCGAAGAGGAAGCTAGTGGCTCGAGGAGCTTTTCAAGATGCTCATGAACAAGCTGCTCACACAAACCTAGCATGGGTAATTGACCTCACGTAACAACAACGGCGGGCCTCAGTAGCAAGTTAGCAATTGACGTCACAGGTCACTTAGCACAACATCAGATCGTGCTGAGTCAACGTAACAACAACCTCGAAACTACGAGCCTTCATCCCAGCCCCGGTAGCTGGATTGAATATGAAACGGTCGGTGTAAACGACCTTCACTGAAAATTGCGCCGACATCTTGTTCAATTGCGCACATTTCACAGGAGCAAGTTCAAACTCGAGGTTGTTGGGTGGCGACTTTACATACCTAGCTTCTTTACGCCTCCTTAGAGACAGCCGCTCTTTCTCAATCAGCGAGGCCATATCCCCCGCTGCCGCGAGAGCTCGCAGGACCGACCTCTTCTTGTTGGCCACTGTACTCGAGGGATGAAGGAAAGCAGTGTCTATGATTACTCCCACCTATAATTCTTGGTTTATTTTCGGCAGAATACAAATACTTTGACCCTAGGCATCCAGGCAGCAACCGCGAGCTGAAGCATCTTCAAAGCTCGAAATAGTATCAATTCAAAGATCGCTTAATGGATTGATCCGACTGCAATATCTATGTACGTCCCACACTCTTTGGGCAACGATTGTTCGCAATCATAGTAAGCCAGAGATGTAGCGTTGTTATGAGCACAAACTCCAAGCAGATTTGTGTGCACATTGGAGCCTGGAAGTGATGCAACCGTCTTAAAGCGTCACGAAACGTGCGTACCTAGCAGCTGCTTGCCCAAGCCCTGGATCCCGCCCTCGGCGACGATGGGGGTCGGTTCTTTCATGTGAAGTCTTGTTGTGCCCACATGACGGCGTTTGCAGTTCATGTCCATGCATATCATCCTGTTGCGTTCAAACAGTACATGCGAGAATCAGCGAAGAGATCAACCGACTCACAACAACCTCGCTCCATTCTTGTCAAGAGTCGCCATAGCAGTGACGAAGAATGGGTTGCGTTGCTATTAAACCCAATGCCCGCTTGCCACTCGGAGCATTCGGCCTTTGCAGCAAAGTCTGGACAACCTGTCGCTGCATAGAGAGCACTGATGCTTCTTAGACTCCTCAAAACCGTTCGCCAGTCGGCAGACTCGTTACGGTGACAAGAGCTACTTCGCAATGGAATAAAAGTGATTGCTAGGAGTACGAGAGGCTTACATATTTGACGGCCACTCCCTCGGCGTAAACTCGACGTTGATGGTGCTTCTCCTTGGCGCTCCCTTTTCCAAAACGGCCGCCTTTTCGGTGCTACTGCATGTAAACGTGTGCGACTGTTAATGCGAGGTAAAGTGCCTCTAGTATGAGCTCTAAAGTTCTCGTAAGTTCGGCAGGGTTGTAAAGGCGTGGAACAAGCCAAAAGAGCTACCCCTAAGCTTATTTGCCAGAGCCCCGGGCTTGTAATCGCTCCGAGGGCGGACAATAAGACAAGGCTCTTGGGACGTGTCTGAGCCCGAGGTGCCTTTACGAGCCTTGATCCGACACGGCGAGTTGTGACCCGCCTCGAGTGCGGCCATTATGGCAAGGTGACAGATTGGGTTCATGATGTTTCTCTTTCTACTTTGTCGTGGAGGGTTTTGAAAGCGCCGTGCTTTCTACCTCCACCACGAGGTGCTGAGTTTCAGCTTGTTCGAGCTGCAATCCTTATGTTTGACAGGCAACTCACCCGGCAGGCATTTGCGCTCTCGCCGGTGGATCAACGGTTGCCTCGGACGTGCCGTTTGGCGATGCTCCCCTGACCGCTCCTCCCGGCATGATGGATATTTCACTGTAGCAAGGGCAGATTGGCAGTAAATCGGAAGTGCCGTTTGACCTGCCAATCAGGCGCCCTCACCTTTCGTGAATGTTGAGCAACGGGCTACTGAGCACAAAGAACCCCACTCCGCATCAATCTTTCACGTCCTATGGGCCGATATTTAAAGCCCACGAAGCAGAGAGCCGAGAAACTTCAAGAACCTAGGCTTCGACGGAGAAGCAGAAGGCTTGGATTCAAAGGGCGTTTTGATAGAGACTTCGTACACGTGTGGCCAAGCTGCATGCTCCATGATAGGCAGGTGAACGGGTGGAAGGCCGAGACAGAGCGGGTTTGAGAGAGGGTTCAGTGAACGGTAAAGAAAGCGGGTCTAGTGCCGCCTTGTTAATTCATCAAGGTATTAAAACAGTTTCATCCGAGTTGTTAGTGTGGTTCACTTACCGAATGACTGGCACTTGAGACGGTCGATGAGAGGTCGTAGGGTCGTCCTCTCCTAGCATCCGCTTGGATGCCCCTGCAGGGCCTTCGCTCGGTTCTACAACCCCGTCCGTTAGGTCACTGTCAGAGAAGAACGGCTCAGTGAGTTGTGCTAAGACCAGCTTCCACCCAACAACAGCAGCTGCTTTGTAATGACCTATGGTCCTCCATTTGCAGCATTAGCTTTGTCAAGACCTATTCTCCATGAAGTCGTGTAAGGGCTGCCTGCCAATCGGCGGCGTACAGTGTATCCTCTGTTGCTTCATCTTCGGATTCCCGTGGTAAAACGGACATGCAGATGGTACCTTGGTCGTCATTGCAAAAAGAGCATGACAGTAGAACCCAAGCACTAAGATAGAGCCTTAAAAGGAGCCTCAAAATCGTCGTGCTGGAGTTGCGCTGCAGCGATTCCGAAACAAACGCGAGCTCACGTGGAGGTCGATTTGGCAGCGGCTGGCTGGTTGGCAGCGGGATCAACGCTGGGCCCCGAGGTGTCCTCCCGCACTACTACTTCCGTTGCTCTGGCCGCCAAATCATACGTGCCACTGAAGCAAAAACAAATGGACGAGCAAATGTGTTGCTTCCTTAGATATGAATTGATGGACATATTGCGGAAGACGGTGATCCAGAACAAAGCAACAACGCCCGCAATGGGCGCGCCATTTTAACAAGCCGGGGCAGGCAGCCGACAGTCCGTGGTGCTCGTTCGTCCGGCTCCGTTTTTTTGGAGGGCCGAGCTGTCAAGAACTTTCAGCGCGCCCGAATTGCAGGGCTCTCAAGGCAGATGGGCTCCCAGGACTTTTTCTCATTGCCCTTTCAACACGCGGCCCATGAGAAGGCGGTCAAGCGTTCCGACTCGTTAAAAAGCGAGACGAACAACACTACAAGCAAGATATTGTGAACGTACCGCAAGTTACAAAGCTTTTAGGACACAAAAAGGGATGCCAACGAGGCCCAACGAGGCAAAGAGCGTTGACGAGCGGCGTACCCGGTCTCCTCTGCTCGTTCATCCTCCGAGTCCATGTCGAACCGGATGTGCGTGGGCTGCCTTGTTTCAGATCTGCATAATGGGCATGACAGAAAAAGTCTAAGCATCTAAGCTGCATGGGAAGTTCGAGGGAGCCGTTTCAAGAATCGACCTTGCGTTATGCGGTTTGAGTCCCGCTAGCTTGCACTGCAGTGCTTCGGAGCAAGCTCACTTAGTAGCCGCTTTCGCAACGGACGGCTTCTTGGCGGCAAGGTCGACAGCAGGCCCGGATGCGTCCTCCCGTGCCCCTTCTCCCGCCAGAACAACCGTAGCACTGTAAGCGAAACAGACGAAAGTCAGTTGCCTTCTTAGAGAACGGAAGAGACCGAGAAAGATCGCCTTCCAAACCTGGCAACTTGGTCGTAAGTGGAAAATAGGAAGCCGTATTCAGGTCACTTCATGTGTTGAAATTTCTCATTGAATCAAGTTTATTCGATCTTAACGAAGATGGCGCTATCGGTCTCACACAGGCCGCCACCCGACTGAAGGAAACCGCCTGCAAGATTAACAAAAGTCACCCTTTGATGACGTCCATGTCAAACTTTCGTAGCTGTCCAACTGTGTTGGGAAGGGGAGTTCACAAACCTGTCGGTCGGCGGCTCATTCACCAGCGGCATGGGGTTGTTGCGGCGCCGTGCTCGTGTCAACGGGCCGGCTGCTTCCAAAAGGTCACTGCACAGAACAACCGTCGTACTTGTGTCCCACCTTGACGCTTTAGTTTCGAGACGAAGATGGTACCTTTTCAGCAGAAGAATGGAATACTGCTTTCTAGGCGAAATAGTGCGACTTGCTAGAAAGAGTTACAGGAGCGTATGCTCACGAAAAAAGACCGATCAGGTCTTCCCATGTGAAAGACGGATACTGAATATTTGGCCCTAAGGTAGCTGACATTGAATGCATGCCCAGCCTTGATCTCGAAAAAGCGAGCGTTATCGTCTACTCTATCGTCTACTCTTCAATTAGCAACCTCATGGGCCAGGCGCTTTGGGGAGGCGTACATAGATCCAGAGCGCTTTGACTGGTCAACGATGTTCGAAAGGGGGCCCTATTGTGACGGCGCACCGCAAGCCGCCCTGGGCAGTAATTGTTTGCATGAGCTACGTGTGCTTGTGAATGAATCATACTCACTTGGCCGTTGTATGCGCAGCAGCAGGTTGGTTGACGGCTGTCCCGGACGTGTTTGCTTGCAACGTTCCTTCTGCAGCGCCCACCATCAAGTTGTTTGTTCCACTGCACCAAGAACGAGATGGCAACTTGAGCTTTGTGCCTGCTTCCGAATTGCTTGGTTGTCATTCGCTCAAGTGACCGTTCCGGTTATCCGGACGAGCTTTTCCGCACGGTGCCCACTTGAGCCTGAGACGGGTGACAAAACGAGCTCCGCTTTCCCCTCAGTCAAAATTCCCGACGAAATTCATGTCACACCGGAAGCTAGGGCACAATTAAACGTATGCAAACTCTAAAACCCTTAAAGTGCAGTTATCGATCTCCAACTGGCTGCCGCCACCATTTCGAGCGGACAGGAGGGCGTGGCAGGATTTGAAAGGTCATTTTTCGTTGCACAATGCAACTTTGTTGCTAGGTAACGAACCTGTTGGCCGCCCGTACATCGACGAGAAGCTTAGTGCTGCCCGGGCGTGAACGCGACGCCAAGCAGGCTGGTTTGAGGAGGGAACTGCATAAGAAAACTGTTGTTTAGTAATCTATGACCGCGAAGCTTTGCAAACGGTTCGAAAACAGCTTCCTCTCAATCAATTAAGGCATAGTCCTTGCTGAGCACTGTTCCAAGGCGGGAGAACTTCAGATGGATTGCACCGCATATTTGAACAAATACTCCATCGTCACCGCCCTCCATATGTAAGAAATAAAGACCCGAAGGTGGTTGGAACTTACTCAATACTCAGCATTGTTCTGAAGGAAGCGGGCGCAACCCGGTCGATCACACCCAGATTGCATCTTGATGGAGCAGAAAACGAGGTTCGAAACGATTTGTAAGGTCACCCTTCATTGACCTTCAGAACAGTTTATCTTCAGGGAAGTTGTCCGGTTTACTCACGTGTTGGCCGGCCGTTCGTCCACGAGCGGCATGATGTTGCCGCGGCGTGTTGCTGTCGCGGGTCCGGATGCTTGTGGGGGGGGTCTGCAAAGGCAATTTGTCGTTATACATGTACATGGCCGCGGCTCTTCTCTATTGGACGGCGACGTTAAATAATCTCCAGCAACAAATGAAACGATGCTTCTCATGGCGACCAGATTCAGGGAGCGCGTATGATGACGAACAGGCCGTGATACCAAGCGATCGGGTTTAACCTGTCTGCATGAACTCTAAGATGCGAGCGCTATCAATCAGTTTGTGCACAGCCTCTGTCGACTTTCCCGTTGATATAGTTGTGACTGCTTGTAAATGAATCCGGACTTACTTGGCGGTGGTCTGCGCGGCGGCAGGTTCGTCGACGGCTGGCCCGGACTTGTCCATCTGCAGCATTCCTTCCGAAGCGCCGCGCACGCAGTTGTTCGTTTCACTGCAGTAAAAACGAAAGCAAGTTAAAGCTTTGTGTCCTTACCAAAAAGATCGGGCAACCGGACGTATGAGCTATCGTGCAGGGGCTTTGTCGAGCCTCTTAATCCGATGCTCCGAGCTGTCCCCCGCTGCCAGCGCCCGTTTTGGCAGGGCGCAAACGGCTCCAGTGCTAGTGAACGGCGCCTGTTTTAAGCCTTTTTTCCGAAGCTCCGGGGATATGCCCCAAAGGCGGGCGTTAGGGCAAGGTGACTCAAGCAGTAGTAGGCGACAGGCCGGGGGGCTTTTAGCAAGCCCTTTTTAAGAGCTCCCTATTTCAACCAGGCGCTTCTGGTTGGTAACAGCCTGTGACGCTTGCTATTAAAGCAACCAAATCTGTGCGAAGCACTTGTGTCTAGTTGCCGCATAGCGTACCGCGACGCACACGTGATTGACCAATATAACGTGGGTCGTGCAACGTCAATCCTTGAGACATCCTTAGAGATCAAGGGCACCAAATGTAGAGATGGTTAAACTCAGAAACTCTGTCCCAAACTTGTATAGACCGTGATGGATTACCTGGTGGAAGGCAACTCGGTTCCTGGAGAAGCAACGGATCCGGAAGCCACAACCGTCACCTCCTTGGAAGCAGCGACTTCTGAACGCTTTTCCAAGCGCTTTAGAATGTCGATAAACCTAGCGAATGAACGGGGTATTCAGGTACGATAGCAGGGGTGTTCAGAGAGATTCATTTCAAGTAGATAGAAGTGAAGTAGTAGATTCCAGAAAACTGTCGCCGTCCGTGTTTGGTTTTGGCGAGGGTATGCCACGTCCTCATCAAGTATGCGTAAATCAATCTTCACCAAGCCAGGAGGACAAACGGAAAGCACAGCTAATGCTTCACGCGAGTCAGTTTCTGCTGGCCTTTACTCCGTTCGACCCACCCGCAAGTCAATTTCTGCACAGTCCCTAGATCCGTTTGACCGCCCGCCACTCGATTTCTGCACAGTCCCTTGATCCGTTCGACCCGACCGCGAATCAGATTCTGCACAGTCCCTTGATCCGTTTGACCCGCCCAAAAGCAAACGAATTGTTAAGGCTTTGATCGTATTGCTCGCCTTTCTGCACATGGCCTGGGTTCGGCTGAAGTCAGAAAAACGAGTAGAAGCGTTTACCAAGGCTGATCCGCTAGGCCGATCTCCCCCCGTGCGTACTGCAGCAACCCGTGGTGGTAGGTGGCCGCCACTGCGGGGCTGGACAGATTGTCGGTGAAGCTGTTGTTGAACACCTGCGCAGTCAAGTCCCCATGACCGCTTTCAGGGTTTGACTTTTGAGGTCGACGGGGCGGCAACACCATGAGGACTAGTGAGGCACACCTTAGCTCTCTTTGCCTGCCGCAAAAAAGCTGTGTGTGCGTTTCTTTTCCAGCAGAGTTCCACGCGCAAAGCAGCCGATGTGCATTTGTTTCGAAGTATCGTACATCGATTCAGTTGCCCCTTGCGATGGCACTTGTGGACAAATGTTCGAGATTGACATGAACGCTTGAAATTCCACCAGACGATCCAGACTTTTCAAAGGAAACAATTCTTCTTCTGAAACCCCGCAGACTACTTGCATACTTTCCTGAGGATCAATGCACACGTGTTTAGGACGCCTCACCGCTTCTAGGAACGTCCACGGGTTCCAGCCTTGTAGCCACGAGTACTCAGTCCAGGAGTGGCCCAGACTTTTCTTGGCGAAGAACCGGGTTGTCCGCTCGACGGGGTTGTGGGGAGGTGTGCAGGTCGCAACACCTTCTCCATGTCCCACGTTGAAAGCCACTGCCAGCGTCTTTCCAGGCGAAACCACGTAGTGATTCTTGTGCGCTCCGTTCAGGGCGATGTCCCCTGCCTCCTGCCACCTGCGTAACAGCGGGAAAGTGCATAGATAGCCGGTGGCATGTAGGCCAGGGCAAATTCAATGCAATTCCGCGACCTAACACTGGATTCTTGAGCACAGAAGCAGTGATGCCATCACTTTGGGATCACCGTCTAGCGCCGACAAGTTGGACAAGAGTAGTTGAAGGCTAATCAAATGTTGCACGTTCTTGAGTCATGGCGGAGTACTTTTTGGAGCTTCTGTAGCCGAAAGATGTGTGCCTATACCCTTGGTTGGTAAAGCTATAAGACGAACTTTGATGGTCACCTATTGATCATCACGGTAACGCTATCATTGAGCTCGAACGAGAAGGGTGCGAGAGAAAAACAGCAACGAGAAGGAGGCTTACATCAGATGGATTTTGATCCCGTGGTCCAATAGAAGTTGCGGAGAGAGGGCCCAATAGCCGTCCTTGAGGTAGAGAAAGCGCTGCATGGGGGAGTAGGCGTCCATCTCTGCCCGTACAACTGGGGGAACGGTCTCCCCAAGAAGTTGGGGAGACGAGCACTCTTCGAAGTACTCCCCGAAGGCGCGGGCGAATAGTACTTCAGCACGTTGCATGTTGTCCGGGCTGATGTCTAATCCGACCCACAACGAGCCAGGCTTCTCCGGGACCCGCTTGCAAGCTGAGCCCCGTTAGAGGCGTCTTCACCCGACTGCTGCTCCGCAACCCGGCGGTCCTCCATGTCGAGGATTTGACTCAGCTGCAAAAGGGATGAACATGAAAGTCAAAAAAGTATGATCATACGAGACAGCTGCGTACTCCGTACCTACTCGGCCAAGTTGACGCCGTTTTTGGCCGAAGGGAAGACGATCTAAAACCACGAGGTTGTTGAGAAAACACACGCCGGGGTTTGTCTACTTGTGGAGAAAACACTCGCCGGGGTTTGACTACCTATAGTTGGGGAAGACAGGCATTCTCGAAGCCAAAAAGTGCTGATGACCTGATCCATTTTAGCACTTCGTCGTAAAACTTTATGTGGGTAGATTCGAGGTAAGATGAGACTTTCAGTGTCCGAGGCGAGAACGGCTTGAGCTTCGAGCAAACAAATCATCTTGAACACAGTGCGAGAACAACGCTGGGGGCGAAAAGGATACGCATCAAACAACGACCAGGAATTTTAGGGCACCTCGACGTTGTCGGCGGCGGCGTTGAGCCTGGCGAGCTGCGCAAGTCGACCGAGCGGCGCCGAACTTGCCGCACACATGATGTTGACTGCCGGCCACCCGTTCATCTCGAAGTGCCCCCACGTAATGTGATTCTTCTTTGCAAAGGCGGTAGGCTTGCGAGGCGACACACCAGCCGGCATATCCGGATGCGAGAGGTAGTCATCTGAAAGGGGCCAATCAATCCCTGCAGAGCAGAAGTGCAGTTGTTTGAGCAAAGACAGAGCACATCTGCCTTTCGTGAACTTGAGCCCTTGAGTCGGATGATTTGAAAAGGGTCTCCAAGTCTGAGCGAAGACCTGTGAAATGGACGACGTTGGCCAGCGGAAGGTGCGTCTTGCCACAGTGTCTTGCATCAGACTGTGGCCAAGGAAAGCTGGTGAAAAGCCTCCTTGAAGGAGAAGATGGGGACGGCTGCCCAACACTTGAAGGTACGAAAAGGCTTTGAATCTAGTTGCACCCTTGCAGGTCCACTGATGATGCCCTACCCGAAGGACGTTGTTTAGATCGAGCACCCCCGACAGTAAGCCCGTCTTGTCACGAAAATGGTCGGTCAGAGAACAGAGGCTTGAAGCGTCTGAGGATAACGAACTGCACTTGTCAACTTGAACTGCCAACCGGAGGGAGATAGCAACGAAGACAGGTGCAAGCTATGTATGAACAGGCTTAAAAATTTGCCACGTACCTAGCTCTCGCTTGATGCGCTCGACAGTCGTGCAGAACGACGTTTTGGGGTCATCGAACGGATCTGCCACATCGATGTCAATCGCCCCCACTCTTTTTCCGTCAGTGGTCTCCGAAAAGACTTCTAAAAACGTGTCTCCCGACTTTGGCCGGTCGTGCTGCTCCCGAGCCCCCAACCCGCCTAAGTCCGTCGCTTCCTCTGGCAGATCGTACAAAACAAACTGCCCCCCTTGAACTCCTTCGCAGCGGGACTTGATTCCGTTTCTTGGCTCCATTGGGTCCCGATAACCCTTCGACTTTCTCTCCTTGTACGTCATGGGAAGCAGTTCTGGCACTAACGCTCTCAAAGCCCCCGCTTGCTGGGCCTTGCTGAGAGCCCCCTTCACTATGAAGAAGTGCTCATTGGGGGCGGGATCGCAGAGCCTGCTCTTGAAGTCCGCGGAGTTGAGATCAGATGCAGAGACGTGTTGCGCAAGAGTGACGAGATCGGGGTATTGTTCCTGGAGGAAGAACACACAGGAGTTGTTGTTATTAACTAGGTTCATGAAAAAGCTAGCATGCATATCAAAAGCAACATCATATGTCAGTTGAGATCAGTGGGCAAAAATTGAAGCTTGCGTCAGAGTGCATTTGGCATCGGGAGGCACAGTACAGGACAACTTAATGGCAAACACGAGTGTCATGGTAAATTGCATGTGCTTAAAACAAGGGCAAGAAACAAACACCCGAGCAAACATGAAAGGAAAAAGAGTCCACAACAGTACTGTCTACGAAGAAGAAAGCCCGCATCAGTGCCCCACATTCAGCTTATCTAGACGGGCTTCCTGCATACCTGTATTGCTTGACGGTGCGTACCTTAAGCTTCAAGATGTCCTCATCACTGCGTGGAAGGCTAGAGGCTCCATACCTGCCCCCCATGAAGGTGTTGAATCGTTGCAGCCGCACGTTAAAATTCCTAGAGGGGTTGAAACACGAATGGTGAGAGATGTATTACCAAGTTCAAATCACAGATCCCGTACCGAAGCAGATTGAGAAACCATAACTTCACCTAAAATAAAAGTTACGTAGGTTTTTGCAACGAGAGGAGATGAGATGTGCTGAGCTGCTTGAAGCAAAGACGTAAAGCCTGTATAGACGTGGACGTAATGGCCAAAACTAGCTTGCAGCGCACGTGACAAGTAGGAGCTAGCACATGTTAAGACCGCAAACAAACCCAACGCTCTGCATGCTTGGCGCTGCTACAAGTGTGTTTGCATTCTAAGCGGCTGCTAAGGTCCCAGAAATTGCCAAAAATGCATGGGTGATCCGAGGATTGTTTGAGATTGAATATGCTGTGGGCGTTTGAAAAATACAAGCGGGGGCCGTGCGCCCAAGCCAGCTTGCTACAACGAACAAACCTTCTCAAATGGCACCCAATCTGATCAACCTTTTCTCAAGCATATGCAAAACATCCCCACATTTGATCCAGTCAATGCAGGCTACAGCCCTCGTGAAAGCAAGATAAAACCCGAGGTTCGCAACCGCGTCAAACAGAAGTGGTCTGCCAGATGGACTTTGTTGGCTTACCCTTCCATTGTTGACCATGGCTCGTCAATGCACCTCAAGAAATACTCTATTGGGCTCTCCAAGTCCGCGTTCAAACAGTCCCTCTGCTGCTCTGCAGTGCCCACTTGCATCTCGAAAAAGGATTTATCTATTGCCACCGGCTTGAACACATTCTTTGCTGCCGATGACCCCATTGCGCAGCGGTCTGGTATGCTAAGTCAAATATGAGCGGCTGTGAGCAGCTTTGGCAAATGATACTCCTTGCATCTTCTGCAGACTTTGGAGTTCAAAATCCTCCCAGCATACAGTCAGCATTCACAGCTCTATCTAACTACACAAAAAGCAGAGAAGCTTCTGATCCCCTTCTGATGTTAACACAGAAGCCCACAGAAGCGGCGCCGCAGCATACAAGAATCTGTCGCCTTAGCTCTGCAATGCTGTTGCCATCACTGAAACAATTTCTGAGCTTTATGTGAACATTGGTGGAAGTGGAAGATATGGAAAGGAGGTTGACCAGCCTTGATCCGACCAGCTCGCAGACCTATGCAGCCCTGGCCGCCGGTCGGCCGGCCGCGCGCCTAGCACTGCCGGGCCAATCAGTCCGAGTCAGACGGTGCCATTCAAGCGCCACCCGGCCGGGCCTGCGCGCCGCCCAGCGCCCTAGTCGATCGGCGCGGCGCGGGCCGCGGCTGTTGCGCAGTGGCGGCCGCGGACACCCAAACCGCTTTCAAAATAATCCTAATATCCTAAGAAAAGGGAATATATTCGACCCCCCCGAAGCGGTAAATTCAGTGTTGAGCATCGTTACGGTCCGCGGTTTCAGCTTTCCGCGGTTTGCTGGTCCGCGTTTTAGGGACACCGCCTGGCGGTTCAGTAAAGCTGTAATACCTATCTAGGTACCTTTTTTTGAACGGGCGCGGCAATACCAGCCTTGGACGTCACCGTCCGGCAGGCTTGGAAAGGCGGTAACGGTGGCATCCAACTTGCAGGCCGTTGTGCAGGCCGCCCGCAGGCCGCGGCCGCTTCGATCGCCAGCCTGATCGCTAGGCGGCCGCCGGGGCCTTGGCATGCCGGCTGCGGCAATGCTGCGACAATGCTGCTACGGTATCTAGCAAGCTTGCTCATGAATCCACCTTCGTGTGGTGCCAGTACTGGTGGACTCCGGCTGCGGGAAAGCTCGAAATGCAACTTGAAGTTGAAGAGGCGGCAGTGGGCAGTGGGCACCCCATGCCAATATTGGCCGGCCATGGGCCTCGGTTTCTGATTTCAAACTTTTCAAGCGCAGCGCACAGACTGAGGTAGTCCTCATCAAAGTTTCACAATTCCAAGAGCGTATGCACAAGGCTTGAGGGCCAGAGGCCAGGCTGCCCGTTATGTTTCGACACGTCCGCCTGCTTCTGCCCGGAAGGTTCTTTTTGGTCTGCAGTCAGGAGCAATCGCAAAGTCACCTGTGGCCGCCGTTATTCGTTTCAACACGGTTCCTAGCAAACAGTCCACAAAGCAGGGTGCCGGAGGGCAATGCTGCGGAGGAGGGCGCCCCTCCAAGATATGAACGAGCGCAGACAGGCCCTGCCAGCGTTTTGAGGTCAATCGTGCAAGCGCATGGCCCGCTTACAACTAAGGAAACCTGGAAGTATGCACAAGTAAGCGCCCATTGGTCAGAAGAATGTTTCTTCAATTAAGCTTGTTGTTGATGGTGTGCTTGTGGGCTTCAACTACATATCTGGGTAGGACTGATTCTTTTTCTTTACTTTTTTTCTCTCAAAGAAGCAACGGGAGGGACGGGCATTCTGGCGTTGTGTCCCTGCAATTCCCTAGTTTCTGCAAGCGGGGGGTTGGATATCCAACGTTCATGTATGCCCCTTTCAGATTTCAGCAGGGCTCACTCTTCCACTACTTTAAGCAATCTCAGTTTGAAGGAGATGGCATACAGTCTCCTGCGTCCTTCCGATTTGCGTGGCTCCTCAACCTTGGAGTGCCGTCTGATTGCATCAGCTGGTCAGGTTCTCATGCAATTTGGCTGCCCAGTATATGTGCTCACAAATCTGCAACAGAATGAGCTGGAGTGCAGAGGTTTGGTTTGAGGCTGTTGAAAACTCAAAGTTCTGATTGCGGTGAGGAGGGGAGGGTACTTCAGAAGCAAGCACTACCACCGGATATGAGGCCCTCCGACTGCAACAGTGAACGAGTCCATCTTGACAGCGGTGCTCTTTCTGTGCGTCCAGGAAGCTGGCCTACAAAGCAGAAGCCAGATGAAAAAGGCACTGAAGTGGTTGAAAGAAAGGAAACAGATTGAATGCCTGTGTGTGTTTTCACCAGACAAAAAGACTACTGTTTCGACCGAAGGGGAATTCTTTTACCGGGTGCCAAAAAAGATGCAATCGAAACAGGAGGCAAAAGAGGAGGTTTTAGAACTCGTGAAAGAGCGACGATTGCAATCAACGATGGAAGATTCGTAAACGCGAGTGCAGATCGGAGAGAGCAGAGGGGCACAATTGAAACCTGGGATGACATGGTGCTGACACACATGCGAACGTCTTGGTGTCATGTCATGGCCCAAACGCAATAGCCTCTGTTCAAGTACTTGTGGCAGTCCGCAGTGTTCCATGGTTCTTCAGGCTTCATGGCCATGGCCACTACCCATCGTTGGTGGCAGCCACAGTTCACTCATCCTAGCTGTCGGTTCTCTAGCCAATTTTTTTTAGGGATGCACCGGGCGCTGCAGGCTTGCTTTGACTCTTAGGTTCATGAGCGGGCCTACTTGGCAAGTGCTTGCCAAATAGATTTGGTGCTCGAGCAGGCTCTAAATACATACAGTGTGCACGATCGACCAGCATCACTGCGTAGGAGCTGGTTCGAGAATGTTTGCCGAAATACATCATAAATATACATTTGTTGATATGGATTATACCATTTAGAAGGCCATCCGGTTATTCATTAAGTTAAACGTGCATGCTATGACAGAGAGCAAGCTTGGATCAATGTGATCACGACCATGCATGTATATGACCTGTCAAAGGTAACTAATATCTCTAGAGATCTGTGGGTGTTACAACTTACAACTCACTACGCTGCTGTATATGGAGTCAACGCAAGGTTCAAACGCGTCATGTCCGACCAAAGGGGCCAGAAGGAACCAATGAATGTATTGTACGCTTTGCGTATGGGTGATCAACAATCAGGATCGTGTTCTGTCTTCAACAAGGAATGATTGTCATGTCCCGTTACGGCTGCCAGACGAGCAGAAGTCCTCATTGCCCCATACCTACTCAACAGAACTTCCACCGTTTTTGACATACTGTACATGTTACAAACGTTGTCATGGGTTCATCCGCACTCCGCGTCTGCATCTGGAAGTAGGTACACTTGCGCTGCTTGCACCTGCCGCACTTGAATTGGTCGGTGCTGGCCACGTTCTTCATGGACCGGTCCGCCTCAAACATGGCCTTGTCTCGAATCAGCTTGATCTGGTATTTCTTCTCGTCGCTCGCCATCTCCTCTGCCGTCATGGTCATCAGACGGGCTGGACTCACACCGCCGGTCAAAACTCTGCGCACACATACCAAATGTTATGTCAATCAACCGGATTCAACCGCCCATGCAAAGGAAGGTCAGATTCTTTGAGCCAATCACTTGAGGACGATATTAAAGTAATACGCTCTTCAGGTCGTTTCTCATCGTAGAGACGTGGGCAGACCAAAGAGCTCAGATAACCACTGGAGTTGTGCCCCGAGGGCCCTGCAGCGTAACTGACCTATTCCGGAGATCCGGGTTATTCTTGTCCTTGAGGTTGAAATGGATGGAGCGGTACTTGGCCTTGTAGAGGCTCATGTCGCGCGCGTCTTTCACAAACTGCTTGTAGAGCTCCGCCTCCACCGCCGTGCCCACCGCCACTGCGTTGCACGCGCACGTCCTGGCATCCACCTGCGCCATCATGAGCGCCTCCACAATGTTGCCGCGCAGTTTGTCCCGCAGCTCAACCCCGATCACCTCTACGCCGGCCAGTGCTGCCTCCACCTCCTCCCGTGACACGGCTCGACTCATTGGCGTCTCCGCGGCTGCTCCAGAAGGAGAGGGGGGTTCCGCCAACTCCCCCTCAGGGAGGGCTCCTGCGTCGGTGGCTGACCCCATGGGCTTCCCAACCGAATTGCCCTCGTTTGTATTTGGCTGCGCCCTGTCAGGAGCATCATTTGGTACCTGCGGAGTGGCGGCTGACTTGGCAGGTCCCTCTGCGACCACTGCCTTTTTCCAGGTGTCTAACAGGGCCTGCGCCGCGGCGCTGATCTTGCGGCTGGGGTGCTTGATCAGGCGGCGCACCTTCTTGGCCACCTGTGTCTCCACCAGGACAGCAGTGCTGATGGACACCTGGCACAAAGGGGCAACCAGTCCTGATGAGGGGGTCCACTTAATGAGCTGCGAGATACTGTTTAAACTTGAAGAACAGCACCCTCAAGCAAAGTGACTCTACATCATTAAGTGTGTTCAGCCAGTGCTCAATTCTTTCTACATGTTGGAACCTTCATGAGCGATCACTGGATCCGGGCTCTCTTTGATCGATGCAGTCAATTGAGGGATCTAGCTGGAAAGGGCCACAGCACGCATCGCACACATAAACTGGGAATACTCCACCTTAAGAAGAGTAAAAAGGAATGTGGGGCAACGAAGCTTTGTTAGCGAGTCTTTTGTGGCCAACAAGGCTTTGTTAGCAAGTCGTTTGAAGCCAACCACTTTATGATAACCTGTGTGATATAACAGTACACTCCGGAAGCCAAGATCTTCAGGAATCCCGTCAGGAACAACGTCACCCACCCTCTCCGCGCACGAATTCGACATGATGTCCTTGCTTTTTTCCACGAAAAGAGAGCAATTCACTCTTCCAAGAAAGAATATTAAGCTTGCCACGAGGAACAGTACTCCTTAACGACAACCAGTCAACATTGAAGTGTCCTTTAAGGGATATGCAGCTAGAGTCTCGCATCCACTGGGCTGTCACCCACCTTCTGCAGCTGCTGCAGGGCATCTGCCGCCCTGCTCTCTTCGCTTGCAACCAGGCTGTCCCCAGCTCCAGCAGCATTTGCTGCGGTGCTGGCCTTCTCAAAAAGGCGGACCACCTCTGCACCCGCACCACTCATGGCCAGACAAGCCGCAGCACAGCAGAAGCGTCAAGTAAAACGCTGTGCTAACCTCTAAGTCTCGAGGATTGGAGTTGATTTGATTGAGCTTGCATGAGCAGGAGATGGGGTGCTATGGCCCTGGGCCGCCTTCACTGTCTGTGTCAACGACAAAGCTCTGGACACCTTCGAATCCACCTCGCGAGCTGCTGTTCCCAGAAACAGGGTTCACCCCCAAACCCCGAATCTTGACCCGAATGCTCCATGCCTACACATGGCCCATCGGCAACCTGCAGAATCGCAGATCATATTCTTGAACGGTTAAAATGTATAAAAGGTTTACCATGGTTAGACTCCAACTTGAAGTGAGCACGTCCTGCATTGAAAAAGACCTAGGTAGCAGCAGCTGCACAGCCAGGCCCGCTGCATTGCATTTGTTGCAGTGTTGCGCCCCTGTTTGCGCCCCTGTTTCTCAATCAACTCTTTCGCAGGGCCGGCAACTTGCGGCAAGGGCCGTGTCATTGCAAGGCCATCTCATGCCCCCGCAGGCTAGCATACCTAGTTGCAACTTGTCCTCGTAGGAGGAGCTAGACTTGAGATTTTAAAGGCCATTTCAGGAGCTGAGCCGTGTGCTTCTGGATGTGTTACACCAAGCTGTGCAGAAAGTGGCATTTGAAGTTTGCTGGAAGGGCAACAGACCTGTCTGCCGTAGCTTCAAGCATTTGAGTTTCAGGTCTGACGGGGTGCTTGGTTGGCATACAGTCGCTGGTTGGTTGAACCCGATTAGCTGACACCAGACAGTAGCCAGCCTTTGGGTAAGGCCTGGCTTCTGCGTCCTGTCTACATCCCTGCCTCAATGCAATTTGCAATATCCTGAGGTTGGCGCTGTAAGACTTGTTCTCTGATTGGCATTGTGAGTGCAGCTCAGATCAGGCTACCCAGACTGTTCTTAGAGAGCTTTTCGCCTTCAGACAGTCCTCTTTGATCGGTTAAGGGCTGAATCACCCCTTGCTTCTAATTAAGGGGCAATCTGTCATTCTGGCACCTGTGCTCGTGCTGTAACTTTGATCAGCTCATTGACTGTGTCAGCAGGATTCGTGCGGTGGTCCAGGAACACGGCATTTTTGAAATTCAGAAGTTACATGGCTAGTAATTTGAACGGCCTTTCGGAGAGCACCTTTAAGTAACCTCTGCTAAATGAGTCGACGACACTTCATTTTGCAGGCTTCCTGCCCCCCATGAAGCAGGCACTCAAGGGCAGCCCTTCTCAGAAACAGCTAGGCATGTCTGGTCATACAGAATGGACAGCACGAGACGACCTCATTCTCATGAAGTCGATGGAGGTGGGCCCATTTTGCCTTTGAATTATAAAGATTGGATCTCAAGGACAGCTATCTGCGCTGCCCCGTTGAAGCCAATCTGCGAATGTTCAACGGTAGACGCTGGGGCCCATTCTCATGTCATCTCTGGGAGTTCGCACTTTCCAAAGTCAGCCTCCGATAGGGACATATATGCCACTTCTAAGTGGACATACGCAGCTGTGCCTGGTTCATGTCATGAGGCGAATGGAGGACGAAGCGTTGATGGCCCACCCCTCATGTCGCTGCTTTCTTCATTGGGCAGGCTGGTTATGCCCTGGAGGCCCTGGCGCGGGGGGCCATGGACCTGAGTCGGCGTTTCAGCCTGCCCGAGCTGGAGGAGCGCTGGCGGACCCTGCTCACGGACCCAGGGCTGGCACTGGACGCCTCGCGCAGGATGCTGGCAGCCTGCGGCCAGGCAGCTGTCTTGGGGACTCTGGTGAGCCAGCCCGGAGAGGGGCCCCCCCCGCACGCCATGGACCAGACTGCCTCCTGCATCTAGTGGAGAGTGCAAGCGCTGGTCAGATTGTTGGCTGCGGAATTGCTTCAATTAAGGGCACGTGTCTGCGTCTCCCGACAAGCAATACCTGAAGAGAATAAACCGGGGCGAGCCGAGCTGGCGGTAGGCTTCAATTGACGCCCCAAAGTGCCAGAGACCGTGTGCAGTCTATGAAGCACGTGCCACCGGCCCGTCCCCCAAGGAATAGCTTCCGTTCAAAAGCTATTCCGTCCAAAGTCATTGTGACACACGAGCTTCGTAAATGCTGATTGGAAACCTTGCTGCTGCCCCCCTCGCTTCTGCAGAGCAGCGTCCCGTCCTTTCCGTCTGCGGAGGTGCAGCGCTCAGACGGCTCCCCAGCGCAGGGCGGCCTGCGATTGCAGTATGGACGCGCTCGCAAGCGAGCCCGGAAGGATGCGGCTGAGCGCCGGCGGCGGTTGCTGCTAGACCCCACGTTTGGGGACCTGTACGCGGACGACGACGACATGAGCGTGGGCCTGGCGGACCCGGGGATGCCCACGCCGCAGGACATGAACAGCCTCAACGGCCTGGAGGAGCCGCTGCTGGCCAACCTGGAGGCGTTTGAGGAGCGCATCCGGGGGGGCGGGCGCAGCCGGCTGGGGGGCAGCCGCAGCTGGGAGGCCGAGATTGAGGACGAGCAGGCGACGCGCATGCGCAAGAGGAAGGAACTGCTGGGATACCACCAGGCACAGCACGGCCGCGGCAAACAACCGGGCAAGGAGGCGCCCAGCAGGAGCGGGCAAGGGCGGGAGCGGGGGAAGGGGGGAACGGGACAGGGGGCACCGGCAGCGCCGGCGTACGATCTGCTGGTGGTGCATCATGAAGGGGAGGGGGAGGGGCAGGACGCGGAGGGGGGCAGCGTCTGGGGGAGCGGGCCGAGCTTGGCTGGGGGCCAACAAGCAGTGGTGGGGAGGAGCAATGGGTTTGCAGGAGCCGGGAAGGAGCTGGTGACGGGCGCAGGGTGCCTGGGCGATGGCCTGGGCGTGCCAGCGTGGGGCGAGGCGGGGGCCATGCTGGGGAACGGGCTGAGCCTGGGGGCGGGGGAGCAGGGCGGAGCGGGCATCGAGCGGGACATGCTCCAAGAGATGTTCAGCGTGCTCACAGGCAAGCGCCGCCACGCGCAAAGAAGCCGAGTAAAAGCGCGCAAGAAGCCCAAAAACGTGCTGGCGTAAATGCTCCTAGTTTTAAGGTCTCAGATCGTTGAACGGGTGTCTGAAGTAAAAATGTGAACCGTTGATAAGCAGCACCGTCCGTAATATGTTGCCAAGCTGGTTTGGTGTAGTTGCGGACAAGCTGCTGCAGGTTCACCCTCTGACACTGCGTTGCTGCCTCCTTCCTCAGGTGACATGTGTGATGAGGACACCCTTGATACCGCCGCAGCGCACGACAGCGGGGCGGAGCAGCCCTGGGAGGCAGCGGGCAGCTCAGGCGCAGGGGGGGGCGCAGCTACGGAGGAGCGCCGTCGGCAGGAGGGGGGGAAGGCGAGCCCCGCGGCAGCTGCTGACGGGGCAGGGATGGAGGCTGCTGAGCAGGACGCGAGGGAAGGGGAAGGGGGCACAGGGGCGCAGGGGCGAGGAGGTGACGGGCGGAAGCTGCAGGACGGCCTGCTAGAGGTGCCGTCATCAGGGGGAGAGCGGTCGGGGCCGGAGCTCTCATTCGGGCTGAGCGACAGCGCAGCGCACGAGAGGGAGGGGGCCGCCCATGCCAGCACCGCAGACAGGGCACAGGCGCCGTCGACAGAAGCAGGGGACGCCAGCTCCAGAGGGCAGGACGGGGAGGACATGAAGACTAGGCGGAAGGAGGGGAAGGTTGCTGAGTTGAGTGAGGAGGTGGAAGAGGGCCATGGTCGGGAACAAGTCGCGCCATCGGAAGCAGGACCCCCACAGGAGGACCAGGATGCAGCGGGTGCGCAGGTTTCTGAAAGAGCCGGCCACTCCGCGGACGGTACTGCCCCTCCCGGCGACTTCCGGCTGGCCCCGCCCCGCAAGTCGTCCCCCTGGAGCACCCCGCGGCTGGGCCCTCAGGCGGCGCCCCCTGGCCCGGACCTGCTGCCGGACCTCGACGCGCTCGTCCCCTGGAGTCCCAACGAGAAGAAGCGCCCTGCACCGTCGCCTCTCTTCAACTTTGGGCGCGGCACGGGGCCCTCCCCCACCTTCACCCCGCTCCCGGGAGCTGACGCTACCGAGGAGCTCGATTTCCTGCCCTTGCCCTCGGCTGCGCTGCTGGCACCCCCGGGGACTTCCGCCAGCCGGCACCTGGTGGCGCTCGGGGAGGCCGCCCGGCCGAGCAGCAGCCCCGCCCTGGCCCCCCACGCACGCACGGCGCTGCCACCCCTGGCGCAGCAGCTGCAGCTGATGGAGGAGGACACGCGCAGCGAACCCGGGGACATCGCGCGCTTCAGGGACCGGCAGCTGGCGCGCACCGCTAGCGTCGATGCAGAAAGGCCGCTAGGGCCCGGGCCCGGGGGGAGGCAGCCTGCGGACACTGGAGAGGACGGACGGGCCCCCGGCGAGGAGGCGGGGCGGGAGGCGGCAGGGAAGGCGGGGTCGGAAGACGACGCGTGGAACAGCGAGGAGGAGCCGGTAAGCGGAGCACGCTTGCCCGGAGAATCTTTTCACGCCGCCACACAGGTGGTGCTGGGACCTCGGGCTGATCTGTTGCGTTTTTGCCGATGAAGGGCCAGGCAGTGACGAGGAGCACGCCAGCATCAGAATGGATGCTCAGGCGTTTCGTACTGTTCCAGAGTGGTGATCTTGAAAGCCCCCGACACTCGCCCTCTGAGGTTCCTTTTGTCAAGGGAGTGCCGCTGTGCGAGGGCGGAACCAACGAGCAACAAGGGGCGAAGAGGGGCTGCCTCTCTCTATCGTGATCGCCCAATCTTTCTCGAAACGGTCGAGGTTATTGACATTCGTTTTGGCGGTCGTGGTTGCAGCTGTACTTCTCGGACGTGGAGGCGCTGGTGCTCGACTGCGACCTGGAGCCGGACGACGAGACGGGCGACGCAGCGCGGCGGCATGCGCGGCGGCTGCAGGGCAAGCACCGCAAGGCCATGCTGCGCCTCGAGCAGCTGGCGGACTCCGCCACCTGCCGCCAGCTCACCCGCGAGCGCGCTCTCGCAGTGCTCTATGGCCGCCGCCTGCGCTACCTCATCCGAGATTCTGAGGTGAGCATGCATGCATTGTGCCGCCAGGCCAGTGTCTACGCCAAGATCGGAAGCAGGGGACGGATTACGGAGGGTGGTGGGATTTGGCACGGCCTCTTTACTTCTGTGTTGGAGACTGCGTGTCTTCTGGTAGCCCGCCCGCCGTGCTGGCTGCCCTCCCGCTTTGTGCAGCCCAGGCTTCCTATCGCAGCATTTCCTACAATCGCTGCTTGTCAGCGGAGTGGAGATCCCTTGCGCCACCGGTTCCTGATGCGGTTACGCTGGGCGCGCGTGTGCAGATCTTGGTGGGGCGGTCGACGGTGGAGGCGGCGGTGGATGTGGACCTGGCGGTGGAGGGTGCCGCCACCAAGGTGTCGCGCAAGCAGGCCAGCATCAAGCTCAAGAAGGACGGCAACTGGTACATCAAGAACCTGGGCAAGCGGGAGTTCCAGGTAAACGCGCACGCGCGCCACTAACAGAGGGGCTGCGAATGTGGCGGCGGAATTCAGAGCCGGATTTGCAGACAGTTAGTGCTGGTTGTCCGTGACAAGCAGCACAATTATCCGGAGTCTCATACTTACTTCAAGCAAGGCATGTAACCGTCGGCACGATTCGTACAGTGGCTGAAAGGCAGAGGGGAACCGAGAAAGTTTGGTGGGGTTTTGGCGGGGTTTCGGGCGGGCTTGGGTAGAACGTCTTAGGGTCCTGTTGAGTTCAGGGTGGCAGTCAAGTGTGGCAAATTTCAGTTTCTTCTTTTTACTGGGTACCGTGCTCTAAGCCCGGGGCAAAAGCTGGCGGACTGGGCAGCTGCGATCGGCCAAACAGCATGGTCGTCCACAGCTCTGGTCAAATGTCCGGTATGGAAAGTTGGCAAAGGATCCAGCAGATTTGAACGGCTTGCTTGCGATTGGAAAGTTCTTTACGGATTGGCAATCCATCTCTGACTGCCAGCAGGAGAGAGAAACTACGGGCTGTGACCCCCATAAAGGAGTTCGATTTCTGCCGCCCTGGCTGCTTGCAAGAAAGGTGGCTGTCAGAACACCGCTGCACCTTACTTACGGACTTTCCTACTCCGAGAGTATCCGGATTCTCCTGATTCAAATGGCCGTGCGCTGATCTCCCTCCTTCTGATTGTCTTGCTAGGTGAATAATCGGCCTGTGGAAGCAGGCAGCCGAGAAAAGCTCGAGAACAAGTGCCTTTTAGAAATAGGCGGCCTGCGGCTTGTCTTCGAGATCAACAGCAAACTCGTGGCGAAGGTGCTCAGCCGAATGCCGGCGGACCTCTGATACAAAACCTTCTTGCAGACACTCTGTCCAGTGTGCCACTGGCTCGCAGGGTGAGGGGTCGACATCTTTTGACGGCAAGTTTGCACCAGCGCTTTCCGACGAGTCTGTCTCGTGAGATTCTGGCAACTGCGATGTGAGCTCTTGGAAGCCGGCTAAGATGGAAAGTCTGGCCTCTATAACATCAATGCATGTGCTCATGTGCGCTTCAACATGGCTGTGCGGCCGCACTTCTATCTGTTGCATGCTTGTGTGCATTTAACGTATGATCGCATGCATCACGTGATGCAGAACACTTGATATCGCGATCAAGAGAACAGGTGCATGAGAAGGTTTCATGCACCAACGTTCTGTACATCAACAAGTTTGAAGAAGTCAAAAACCCCGTTTGTTTGAATGGCCATGAGCATACCCACTTCCATTTGCATTAGATAAAGCCTGCACGCAACTAAATTGATACTTGAGCACAGGAATATGTGCGCCAAAAACGACCAAACAAATCACCAAGTTATTTACAAGCAGATATTGTAAAAGCAACACCACTTCTATAACAGGTGCGAGCCCCGCCCCGGTCAGTCGCTTTGCGTGCTCATGAAACCCCCAACGAAGCCTGCTCCATTGCACTCTCCACACAGCATCTGCCTCTTTCCCCTGCAGAAGCACAGAAACCACAATCTGAGTATTGCATATCCAAGGTTACTGCCCATCCCTTGTCAAGCAGACCATGAGCAAAATAATACCACCAAACGAGAAGCTCATTTGATGACATAAGTTTTGATTAGCCTGCCCTTACTGTTTTGCAGTTTGTCATAAATGCCCTGTTAAGAGTGCAACGTCCGCTAAGGCCGGGTTCGCACACCCCAACATTCTAACATGGTCCTTAATGTTTGGCGTGCTGCAATGTTGGGGGAGGATCAGAAAAGAAGCAACTGGCGACAATAACAATGCTCTGGCAAGCCTGCCCAACGCCTTCGTCCATGGAGCTGTCGCTGCTGGTGACGCTGGCCCGGGCTCACCTGCACAACCAGCACGTCTGGCCGGCCTTGAATCGCCCGTCAAACTTGTCCTCCTGGTTCACGCCGGTGCCCTTGCATTGGCCACACGGCACCGCTCCTACAGGCAACCACGTCACTCAGCAGCCATACACGGCATGAGGAAGAACCAGAGTGCAGCAGGCTGGCCACCTGGAAGCATCCGGTAGCCCCATACAGGGAAGCACGCCTGTGTAGAAGAGCAAGTGCTGGGGCAGAAAAGCACACAGGAGGGGCTGCCGGTGCAATGATTGCGGCCCCGTCCGCTGAAGGCCTGCGAAACAGGACTTCACCTAGTGTTCCTTAACCACTTTCAACCACAGCTTCAACCTTTCATCCAATTGGGTATTAATCTGTGATGAATGCCATGAGCTACCGGACAATGAGCTCCATGGATGGTGTCCAAGCCCCAGCCCAGGCAACAAACCTGGTGATCATGCAGAGCATGCATTGCATGAAGGGAAGGGGGGGAAAAGCGGACCGACTCACCATTCCCATCACAATTTTGGCAAAGCAACGAACGGTTTGGGGTGGTGGTTTCAGAGGGCGAAGAAGAGCCCTCCGATTGAGCAGCCTGCACGGCATGTAATGCATTGTATGACAATTTGGCGCAGGACAACTCAACGGGCGGGGACTATGCTGGGCCGGGACTATGCTGGCCGGTGACGAATCAGAGGATTGCAAACTCCTCCCATCATTGTGCACAGCTGCAGCCCTAAAAGTGGTCATAATGGAGCCCTGTTTTAAACCTGGCTTTGTAACTCCAAGTCGGAGAAAACATTTGGGAGTTAGATGCAAGCGACATGCTCGATTGGAGCGGCTGCTCTTCAAGGTGGGACTGCGCAGAAGCACCCACCTGGCACCTTATCTGAGGACCTCCCTCAACTTGTCGTCCACGACTGGTAAAAGCGCGCGAGCCTGTGTGTGCAGCGGATGGGTCAGCGAAGGACCACGCATTACTGGGCAAAGTCACCAGGCTACCGCTTCTTGTCAAGAGCAAAGCTAAGCGACGCTATGGGGCAGCTTCTTCCTCTGCCCACAACCCTACGCAATCCAGCACCAAGTGTGCTTGATCCCAATGTCACCGTTAGTGGCATTGGCAATTCTCCGAACCATGTAAGAAGGAGACTAGCCAAGCACCCCATAAGACGGGCCACACACACCTCATTGTGTTTGCTCAAGCTCAGGACAAGTACCACTGTTGCCCAAATGATATTAAAGTCCAGACTGAGTGTAAGTTGTCCTACCAACCAACCTGCCAGTGCATGAATTGTCCTCAATCAGCCTGAACCACATCTGACCTCCAGCACAGTATGAGGCGGGCACTATATGGCATGACGGACAAGAAGTGGGAGCTCACCAACACGTATGCAGACCGGACGGAACCTGAGAGACTTCTGCTGAGCCTGCGTAAAGATGGAACGGCCCCCAGTCTCTATCCTGTCCGTCTGCTCCACTCGATCCCCAACCTGTCCACATTGCGGCAGACCCAGAACTTTCGTAGAGCTGGCGGAGGCAGCCATGGGCATGATGCTCAGCTGCAACTTCTTCGAGAATCAGCGCCGTTCTGCAGAGTCAAAGCCTGACAGTGTCGGACCCGACACTGACAGAGAGAGAAGGCCCCCAAAAAGCCCCATCTGCAGTCGGTGGCAATCCGGGTCAGTCTTCTTGAAGTTGTGCGGTAATGGCATTCAGTGTTGAGATAGATAACACCGTTATCTACTACTTAGCCTAGGTACTCCGATATCTAGTTGCTGCCAGCTCCTGCGGCCGCGCTGTGAACGGTACCGTGACTATACTACGGTACAAGAACCGACGTCACGTTGATACGCTCAGATTTGGTGGGCTTCCAATGAAGGGCATCCAGGCCGCATATCGCCGTTCACACAGATTTGACCAGTGTTGAGCGAGCGCCACGCGTCCCGGGCGGCGGTGCGGCGTGCAATGAGAGTTGAACTCGGGGGAGATCATTTTCGCATGATGGAGATCTTTGTGGGCCTCCCCCTGCTCAATCTGCGCATGGTGCTCTGCCTCTGGGAACCGCTCATGCAGGCTTCGGGACTTGGGAGTCAGCTAGGGGCCTAGGGAGGAAAGGTTAGGTAGCTCCATCTTGCTCGTGACGTCCGCAAGGGGCGCTGATTGGGCATTTGGACCTGCCAGCCAGAGACTCTGTTGGTGAACGGCCTTGTAAGAGAAGTATGTATGTATGTATGTTTTGTGAGTTTTGAGACGTGCACTTTTGAGGCTAAATTCCAATGATAGAGTGAGCTCTGCGTCAACAAGAGCCGCAGAGGGGCTCTTTTCTATGAGCTGCCCGTGCCCGAAGACTGAAGACCTGGACTCGGACCTTGAAGATGGGCTTAGAGACCAGTGAAAACCTTTTCAAGTAGTCACTGCTGGACTGGCGCGTGTTTGCATCGCTAGAGCACTATTCTTCATGATATAGTCAGTTTCTGCTGGTTGAAAGGAGGCTGGACCCCATTGGCATCATTAGCGGCGGATGCCCACCCCTTGTGCGCACCAAGCACCCTCCTGAGCAAGCACGACAACATGGGGCAATAGGGGCCTAAACTGGGGCACTTACAGCAGTGAAAGATGATGGGTTGCCGAACAAAGTGCTGTGCGGTCTTCGGCCTTTTGTTTCTGGCCGTTGCTGTTGCGGGTCTGGTCAGTGGTATTCTCTACCTGACAGCTCAAAATGACTGGGACAAACAGTTTGAGCTCAATTGCGAGAGCAGGGCTCAGGTAAGTCGCTGGCACTGTTGCTGGGATGCTTCACCTTGTAACATCCTTATCAAAGGTTTGCTTGCCCTCCACCACCAAGGGATGGTCACAATGCCACTGTCTCAGCGTCTTAGAAAGATCCTCATGTCTTTGAGACGCCCTCTGCCGTCCGATATTGGCATCCGCTTTGCTGCGGGAGATAGTTCTGGGCTTGGAGTCTGGTCATTGGAAAGGAGTTTGCCGGAGCAGCTCCGGCACCGATCCATGTGAATCTAGAAGAGGCTTGAGAAGAGCAGCTTCAATGTGGCCCTCACTTTCCTGCAGGTCATTGAAGGCCTCTTCAACAGCAGCTAATTCTCGACCGGGGTCTTCGCGGGCTTCATGCAAACTGTAAAACCGGAGCGACTTCAATTCACGTCCTTTGCAAATGTTACATCCTGGACTCGCCGTTACAGGTGAGATGTTCAATCAAGTAACTGGTACACGATGGTCTCATCTTGCCTTTTGTGCAAAGCTGACCTCCGAGACAACCTGGATCACAGCAAGCAGGATGGGGACTTGCAAAAGCGCGGCCAGGCTGGCAGATGCTGACCCGCTCTTTCTGCTGCAGCCCCACCATTTACGCGGTGTTGCACGTATTAGGCCCAGACAGGGCTGCATTCGAAGCAGCACATGGCTTCCCCATCATGGAGACCTTACCGAACGGGAGCGTGCAAGTGTCCGGTCCGAAGGCAGATTATGCGCCAGTGGAGTTCTTTGCCGCTGCAGATCCACATCCCAGCCTAACCAATGCCGGCTGGTATGGGTGAGTACCAGCAGGCCCTCTGCGCCACCCCCCCCTTCCCGAGTTCACCGGGTAGCCATGCACTGCTATGCCCTCTCCAGACAGAACAATGTCAACGATGTTTGAAATTGTGCCCTGCTATGGGAAGGGCACCCTGCACCGGGCGGCCTGCAGCATCAGGCGACTAGATGCACCTCAGTGCCTCATGCCTTGAGTATTGCATTGACTCCTCTACAACCCTTGAAGAATAGCTCTTGACGGCAGTATTTCACTGCCTGGTCAAGCAGGGAGCATGTCTCATGTTGTACTGAAGTGGCACTGGAGGTCAGCATGCGCCCGGTCGTGTCCACAAGTCAAGTGGTACCTACTTGGCAAATTTGCTGAGTTGCAAACCAATTCTGATATCAATTGCGGGTGCTTTTCCTGTCAAAGATATGTTGGCTGCCTGTGCTGGCTCCCTTGCGAACCACCGCCTCGTGCTGGCCTGTCGTTGTAGGTACGACGTGTATTCGGGCGTGCTGGCTTCGTACGCTCTCCTCGCTCGCGACAGCGGCCTGCCCCAGGCGTCTGCCAGCTCCAACTACTTTGGCGCCCTGGGCTTCATGCTCTATTACCCCGTCTACTCCGACCTTGACGAGGAGCAGGCCCAGCTCGCCTCACTGCAGGTCAGTGCCATGCTACACACACAGCAGGCGCAGCGAGCGCGCAGGCTGGCCGGCAAGCAGGGCACACAAAGTGCTGGACGTTGCCTGCTCAAGAGAGCAGAGGTTATACATCTGATTTCACCATTGCTGGCACACCAAAACCACCAGTGCATTCGGGACTCTTAAGAGCAGGCAGCTTGAATCCAGTTCACAGCCTAGATATTGTCTCACACAAGGTTCTGTTGAGGTACTATCCCGTTACAAGTCGGTCTTGTAGTAGCTGTGGTCGGATGCGCCTCATACATTTGGTTACCTTCTAGTAGGGCACTTTCTCAGCGCTGAGCTCGTGAACTACGGCCTAGAGCGTTGCCTTTTGCGGCTCTCCTAGGCCTCTTAGCTTTTCAGCACTGCCTTGCTTGATGTTTTGGCGGGGTTCAACTTGTGAACGACACTCACTGGCAGCTTTACGTTGGAGAGTCGTTCTAGTTTCTGGTAGTGGTCGCAAAGATGTGGTTGACCATATGTAGATTGAGCCCACAAAAGCGTGGAGACGATTTGAACCCGGATTTTGGAAATACTGGTTCTTGAAGTGGTTGGCAGATAAGACTGATAGCAATTGCGTATGAACTGCTATCATGGCTTCTCCTTCCCCTGACTGCCGCATTGAGCTCTGTTTTGTATGGGGCCCACTTCCCCTGACTGCCGCATTGAGCTCTGTTTTGTATGGGCCCCACCTAGTCCCTGAAACGCCACGGTCCCAGCTGACAAGCCAGAGGGTGTCTGCTCCTTCCCACCCCATGTCACCCAGGCTCGACTGACTGGTGGTGATCTCTTCCCCTTCTGGCAGGTCCGCCAGGCCAACTTGTACGGCTACCTGATGGCCTACTTCAACGTGAGCTACATCTGCCAGGACGCTGCCTCCCAGTTCCCCGACAACAGCCTCGACCTGCGCCTCTACGACGCCACCGTCGACCCGCTGCTCGTCAAGTACACAGCTACAAGGGGGCCCCCCCAGCGCGTGCTCTGCGACTCGGTGAGCATGACACCGGGTTTCTTGGTGTCGCAGCAGCGAGCAGTCCCAGTCAGCTTGAGGGGCTCCCACGGCTGCCTTTGTTCCCGCTACTGCAGAGTGTGTGACCGAGTCCGACCAGATTGTCGGTCTTGTCTTCCCACAAAAAGGAGCTCGCATCATCCGTCTGCCTGGTCGTGCACCTGCGCTTCTGGGGCAAGGCCCTTTCAACGCTCTGCCACTTGCTCTTCCTTATATTTCTCGAACGTGGTTTTTAAAGTTGCTGCGGAATCCTCATTCTGTCCAGTGCAGTCCCTTCTTCTTGCTGTCACCCGTGGTCTACTTGGCTTCATTTTTGACGAGTTCATGACCTTACGCTGTCTGTCTCTCAGAGCTTCGACGTAAGCCCCCTCCCCCCCAACAGCACCATTCTCACGGACCACTGGCGCTCCGACGCGGAGATCCCCTTTAGCTTCGGGCAGCGCCAGTTCCAGATCCGCTGCCGCAAGCCGGCCATGCCCTACATCCACGGCCTCAGAGCAGGTGAGCCTGGGACCGCCATTGAGCCACACCGCACTGGGCGTCCGAGTATTTGCTGTATGTGAACGTCTCTCAAGGCGGATATGCTATGCGGCAATGATGTTGAGACCTCTTTTAAGCTCTGCACAATGTTTCGTGTCGGTACTTCCGAGGTCCTGGCATGTTGACGGGAATGCTCCCTCTTAGTGACGTGGCGTGGGTGGCTGGTCGCAGGCTGGAGCTGGCTGCTGTTCTCGCTGGTGGCCATCTTGCTGGTGGTCATCGCGGGCCTGCTCCTGCTGGCCATGAAGGGCTTCAAGAAGGAGCGCGACCAGGTGAGCCGCACCCGCCCACCCCGCCACCAGACGGGGACAGCCTCACAAACCGGGTTTGATCATGGCTGTGGATGGGGCAAGGACGTGCAGGCCCAGGCTACCTCTGATGCTTCCCGATCCAGTCCAATCGATTCCGTATTTTTCGCCACCTTTTGAGGTCCCAGCTCACGACGAAGTTGTGCAAATCTACCACTCTTTTGCTCTGGCTACGAGTTTTAGTATCCCGCCACAGTCTGCATAGGAGCGCCACATCCCAAGGACGAGTTGATGCCCTTGGACAAGGTTTGTTTTGCTCCCTGCCTTGTCTGCTCACTGTCCAGCCTGGCTGCCCTTAACGTGCCCCGCCTCGTCTCTGCCGCTCTCTGGGCGGCCTGCCTGACCCTGCCCCGGCGTGCTTCGTGCAGCTGGCGGAGCTGAACGTGAACATGGCGGCCGCCAAGGAGGCAGCGGAGGCGGCGGATGCGGCCAAGTCGAGCTTCATCGCGACGGTGTCGCACGAGATCCGCACGCCCATGAACGGCATCCTCGGCATGATTGGCCTCATGGCCGAGACTGACCTGGTGCGCACACCACGCCACCACAGCCCTGCGTCCGGCCGGCACGACTTAGGGCCGGCCAGGCACCGCGAAGTAGAAGGTCGTTCAGTAGTCGTCTGCCCGCCATTTCCCCAGTCTGCACTTCACACACGTCTGCCGGCCCCCTTGTTGGTGGCCCCCTCGGTCCAGCCTGGCCGTGCTGGTCGTGTTGTCGCTGAGCAATTCCGTGTGGTGCGCATCGTGCAGGACATGCAGCAGAAGGAGTACGTGCGCACCGCCAGAACCAGCGGGGACGCGCTGGTCGCCCTCATTAACGACGTCCTGGGTCAGCCTCAACCCTGCACGTCTCCTTATACCACAGCGTGCTCGGCATCGCTCTGCGCGCCTAGTTTTATGCTTAACTGCTGGTCGCCAAATTTGCCACACGTTTGCTCGGTCTGCTCTTGTGCAGCTTGCCTGCTTACTCTCTCCCCTAGTTACATCCTACTGGAGTAGTCATGCCGCTTGCTTCCGTCCGGCTCCTTTTCCTGACTCGTGTGTGCTGCCGCTGTGCTGTGCAGACCTGAGCAAGATCGAGGCGGGCCACATGGAGATCGAGCACATTGCGTTTGCGGTGCGCCCGCTGGTGGAGACGGTGGTGAACCTGTTCGTGGACAAGGCGCGCGACAAGGGCCTCCAGCTGGCGGCGCTCGTGCAGGACGCCGTGCCCGCCACGCTCGTCGGTGACCCCGTGCGCGTGCGCCAGATCCTGATCAACCTCGTCAGCAACGCGCTCAAGGTGCACCCCCGCCCATGCCTGCCTGCGCCCCCCGCAGCATCCTGCTGTCGGATGTGCTGGTACCCTGTTGTGCAGGAACGTTGAGATTGCGAATGGTTTCAGATGAGATTCACATCGTACGTCCCACTAGTCAAAGTTCACCTCGTAGGTACGACGATGGGGAATAACGGGGTCCCTTGCCCCTTCAAATCTATCAAGGGTACTTTCATTGGTACGAGTCCCTTCTTTGTTCCCTACTGGTTTGGCGACTGACAAGAGGCTCTTGTTTGCAGTTCACCAAGAGCGGCCACGTCATGATCACGGTCCAGATCCGCAATCCGCGGCCCCTGACCGGCAAGCCCTCCGGCCAAGTTGCCATCGACATGGACGGCCGCGAGAGCCCCCCGCGCAGCGCCCGCGAGCAGGGGGCCCCCCCTGCCGGCCTCCTACGGGTGCTCAAGCGGCGCCGACGGCTGGCGCCCAACGGAGGGCCGCTGCATGTGGAGCCGGAGGAGGTGGCACGGCGCCCGGCCATGGAGGACGGCTTCGTCAAGGTGGCGCCCACCGAGGTCGTCTGGCTCGAGGTGAGAGCACCGGATGGGGGCCACCAGAAGAGGCTGTGGTGATCTGGGCCAGCGCGACTGGGAAGGCGAGGCTCGGTGGACGCTGCTGGGATGTACCTGCTCTGCCGCACTTTTGGTGTCCACTTTCCTGCAAGAAGATCCCGGTCGGGCTGCATTTCCCTTGGAGCTGCCGCCTCCATGGATTGCCGCTTTTCCAGCACTCTTTCCCGCTGGCCCCGCCTCTATTGAGTAATCTTCCCCGGTGCTTGCTCCGCCCCCTGAATGTGCTCTGCTACGGTGCGGCAGGACGCTGCGCTGGAGCAGCTGGAGGTGGCGGGCACGGTGCACCTGAGCCTGGCCCCCGCCAGCCCCGCCTGCTCCGTGCACCAGGTGGCCCGCTTCCAGCACGCCGGCTGGCGCGCACGAGACCTCGCAGCCGAGACCGGGGAGATGCACATCGCGTTCACAGTGGAGGTGAGCACGCCTCCCGCTGTATCCTGACCAGTCACCTTCCTGAGTAGAGGTCGCCCGGTGGCTGGGGCCTACAACATCGATGTGTTGCAATGTTCCCTACTCGGGGCCTACCTGTACTTTGAAGAGAAGTTCGTCCAGCCTTGCTTCATCGCGGCCGACGTGGATGAAGACGTACCCAATCGTTGACTGACGGAAGCTAATGTATCGTTGCTTCTTTCTGGACGGGCTGGCCTTGTGCCGCCCTGACCTTGCACACAAGTTGTTGACATCCCTTTGTTGCAGGACACGGGCATCGGCATGCCGGCGGACGCCCGGGACCGCCTCTTCCGCCCCTTCTGCCAGGTGGACAGCAGCACCAGCAGGTGACCACCGCGCCAGGCCCCTCGTCCTGCACGCATACTGCACCCGGAATCCTGGCCGTCTCTGGCTGGATGCAAGTGTGATTCGGGCGTCACAAGCTGCTTATCAGCTCACAACCGCCCTTACAGCACTTCTTGCCCGTTCTTTCCAACATTCATCTTGCACGGCGGGTGCACGAACCGACTGGTGTCGAGCCGCACAATAATGCTGGCGGGTGACATGCCGGTGTTGTGGTGCGTGCAGGAACTTCGGCGGGACGGGCATCGGGCTGAACATCTCGCACCGGTTGGCCAAGTTGATGCACGGTGGCATGGCAGTGGCCAGCCAGGTGGAGCGGGGCAGCCTCTTCCAGTTCCACGTCCGCCTCGACCCCCCAACGTCGCCCAAAGCGGGCAGCCCCGTCGCAGAGCCGCTGCCAATCCCTGACAAGCCGTCGCGTGAGTTGTGGCCTAGCCTCGCTGCCGCTGCACGACAAGTCTTTAGCGCCCTGCTGTTTGCATGTCTCCTGCCGACTGACCCGCCTGGCTCAACTGCTTCGGTGCCTCTCGCTTCTTCCCCTCATGCCGTCGCTGTCTGGCCCTGCACCCCCTGCCGCACTTCACCCCGCTCTGCTCCTCTGTTGGCAGCATTTGCCGGCCTGCGCGCCCTGGTCGTCGACCGCAATCCGGTACGTGCTGAGGTCGCAGCCAGCTACCTGCGCCAGCTCCGAGTTTCCCCACGCACCAGCCACCCCGCCTCCCTCTCTCTCAGCGGCTCATCCTCCTCCGAGGCTTCCACGTCAGGCGGCTCCGGTAGCAGCTTCAGCGACGGCAGTCCCAGCCTGGGCAGTGTGCGGAGGGGATTGTCGGGCGAGTTGTTGAAGCTCGCTCCGCGTACCTTGGACGGTCCCCTTGCGGGGCTGCAGCACACGGAGGAGCCGCCGGGCCCCCCCAGCGTGGTGGTGGCGCACCTGGAGGGCCCCGATCTGGATGTGCTCCCTGTGTTGACCACCCAGTTGCGGGGCCTAGGAAGGGGGCGGGAGCCCGCACTGGTGGCCGTGGTGGGGCAGCCCGCGGACGGCGCCGCAGCGGAGCGCCTGGGGTGGGCGGCCGTCATGGAAGGGCCGCTGCGGGAGCAGGCCCTCCGGCTGGCGCTGCTCAGGATCGTGCAGGGGGCGGACGCGGCAGAGCCGGGCCCTGTGACACCCCCGGGGGACCCCACCCCGCAGCCCAGCCTGCGCGGGGCCCCTGCGAGCAGCGCGGAGGGGGCGTCGCCGCGCACGCCACTGGACGCGGGCATGCCGGGGCGCGCGCTGGAGGGGCTGGCCGTGCTGGTGGTGGACGACAGCCCCATCAACCGCAAGGTGGCCTCCCGCATGCTCGAGAGCATGCGCGCCACCGCCGTGTGCGCCGATAGCGGGCAGGCCGCCATCGACGCGTTCCAGCGGCACCTCGCGGGGGAGGGGCCGCCCTTCGACGCCATCCTGATGGACGTGCAGATGCCCGGCATGGACGGGTGAGCGCGCGCATGGGGCTCAAGCGGCCCAAGGCGCACCATGGTGCCCACGATGGTTGCAGCTGGCTCAAAGGTCCATACTGCAAACCGGCCCGAAGTCTTGAACCCTCTGCACGGCCAAACGCTTGCATGGACCGATGTTCTTTCGCTCGGCCGGATGCGCTCCAGGCGGCCGTGCCAGTCCCAGTACTTGGCCCGACTTTCTCCTGCCGTGCGTGTGAGCGGCTGTCTCCTCGCTGCTGCAGGTACACTGCCACGTCGCGCATCCGCGAGGTGGAGGCCCGCTGCCTGGCGGAGCTCGCCGCGCCCGAGGCCTCCACCTGTGAAACCAGCGGCAGGAGCGCGCCGGGGGGCCCACGCGGGGTGCTGCTGCAATGGAAGACGCGGCTGGCCAACAAGGTCGCCACTGCAGCGGCAGGCGGTGCCTCGGGCCTCGGTCTCGCCCCGCTGGAGCTGCCGCGGATGCCCATCATCGCCCTCACAGCCGGTGAGCAGCTTCCCACCCACGGGGCCGTGTAGGTTCTTCCGGCTTGGCTTGCTCGGTGGTCATGGAAGGGAGACAAAGCAGCGGGCATCATCTCAAGCTCCCCGGTGCGCGCGGCCCCCAGCTGAGCCGGGCAGCCATAGTCGGCGTGTGGCCTCGAACTGACTCTGTCGCTCGTCCCTGGTGCGTGCAGACGTTATGAAGGGCACGCGCGAGAAGTGCATGGCCGCCGGCATGGACGACTACCTGGGTAAGCGCCCACCCCCGCCCATGTCGGGCCCCCTGCATCGCCGATCACAGCAGGCTTGCTGCAGTTTCTCCGTCCTCGATTGTTGTCTCTGGCAATGGTCATAGTTGTGTGCTACAGCACCTTGCTGCGATGTGGAACATGGATTTTCTTTGGGCGGACCCGAAGATCTTCTGCAGCACTTGTCGTCCTCAAATAGCTGGACAGCAGCAGGTTACCAACAACTTGTTGCGCACCCGAGTTGAAGTTTCATCGGCTCCTTGTCCGTATCGAGATCCAGCTTCGTTGTCGAGTACTTTGCAACGGCTGAGCCGAGGCTTTGCCTGCTAAAGATGCTTCGTTTCCCAGGTCATGTAATATTCTTTATTTTAACTTGTTCCAAGCACGTGTCCCAACGTGGTGCGTGAAAGAGCGAGGCTCGATATAACCCGATCGACGCCAACGCCCCAAGGTCTGCTCCAGGACAGAAAGTAGCCTGGCATGGCACCGGTTCACGCTGTTATCATTCTTTCGTGTGCAGCAAAGCCGTTGGACAAGCAGAAGTTGGGCCAGGTGTTGCAGCACTGGCACACCAGCTAGATACTGAAAGCCATGGACTGGCGTCCGCTACTCCGTTTGAGGAGTAGGTTGCATCCGCAATCAGTAATACGCAGCAATTTCCGCATGCAAAGGAAGGACGTTCTGAAGCCCTGCACGCAACATTCCGAGTTGTAGAACGATCACGCGAACTAGCAAAGGGACAGTTGAAAAACTACACGCTTGAAAGGACTCGATCGTGATCACTAGGGTAAGATGATCTTGACTGCCATCATACGTAGGCACGTGCGGCTTTCTATCTTTGACCGAAAGTAGTTGCAAGCCAACCTTTTGTCGATGCTAGCAATGATCGCCTGGCTTGCCTAACAATAACGATGCTTGCGTAAGTCAAAAGGATCTGAAAGCGGGTGACGGACACATACATGCATAGAGACATTAGGAGTTGAGGTCAGAGTCACCTAGCCAGGCCAGGAGGTGGCGTCAAGACCTGTTACTGTAGTATTCATGTATCAACCATCATCAGTTTGCAATGCATTTGCTCGATTCTACGGGCTGGTGTTGGACCAACTTTTCAGAACCGAATGAATTGATTGGGGATCCATGATCACCAATTGTCAGATGGACCGCTGTACTGTCTTTCTAAATGTTACAGCCGCTTCGGAAGCAAGTAGGCGACCTGAGAACCAGCAGCTGTGCATGATGGTCGCTACGTCCACATGCTAGGATGTAAAGATGAATTGGATTAAACTGGATATGTAGAAGCGTGGTCATCGTGTACTCAACTCAACCATGTCCGCGGTCTGCGCCGCTAGGCTTTGCTCGCGAGAGACACATGGGCCTTATGCATATGGCGCCGCCTTGATGATGATTAATCGGCCTAACATGATTATGCATGTTGACGGTCGGCTAAATAATAGTTAGACATCGCTATACACCATACCAACAGTTTAAAGTGCAATATAGGCTTCGTTAAGCATTTGGATATTGAACGCCGTCGATCCCTTAGCCAACCATGATTATCACTGAGCACGCAGACATGCCCTCTGACGGTTAATCGTATGCGATCACACATGCTGTCCATCATACCGGCATGTCGGCATAATCAGCATTTTAAGCCGTATAGAACCGTGCCCATCAGTATGTCTTGCAAAATATTGGCTCGTGTGCACGATCACGGTCAGTGCTTGATTAGCCGAAGGTATAGAACGAAGAGGCTGCGTATACAACTTGCATAAGTTTTTAAATAGGATTTCGTATACCACATACTGGCAAAAAACATGCAGCACCTGGATGTTTGTGGCACGCACGTAATCCAGGGCAAGTTGCATCAACAAGCCACCAGACTATAACCATACACGAACGGCCCTTTTAGATTCTCACGTAGCTTCGGCAACTTTCGCAGTCAGGCCTGTCAAGGTCCGCTCGTAAATGCTCGTGACTTTCTCGAACAGCTTCTCTCTCTGCTTTGGTGTATACTGGGTGCCAGCTCCGGTTAAGTGCTTGGCCGCAATGTTGCGGTCGAAGTAAAACTCCCCCGACACCAGCATCGCCTTGGCAACGCACGCCAGCCACAAGATCGTGTCCGCACCTTGCTCCGCTGTTCGCAGTCGGCTGCGGAACCTGCCAACGGCAGCAAATAATCCACCTCAGCCACAGCGTCCCTGACATATCCGCTGGGTTCGCAAGCAGGCCCCTAATGACAAGTAGTACGCAGCCTGCTTCACGGGGCTGAACAATCAGGGGCCGCCCGACGGGCGGGCAAACCTCTTAATACAATCATTCACGCTGCTGCAACCTGGCAGTGTGCCTTGGCAGGCTGGCAGCAAGAAAGACATTGGTTTACCACCAAACGCCGATCGCAGCAACGCGCCTCCGATCCCACGCGGTGCGCACCTGGTGTAGAAGGCGGGCATGGCGTGGCGCAGCGTGGCGGTGTCCACCCACCCGGGGTGCATGCTCAAGAAGGCCACGCCCGGGGTGCGGGCCACCTGCACACGCAGCAGCACACCGAGGATGCAAGTCCGCCCGAAAGGACTCTCCGGCTGCATGGCGCAGTGATAGCGACAAAAGATCCGTACAAGCAGAGAAGCCTTCCCTCAGTGCGAGCCACGGAAGAGTCGCAGGTACTCCCGCTCTGCCCGCGCTCACCTCCATCCAGTGCTCCACGAGCGCGAGCTGCTGCCGCTTGTTGCGCGCGTACTGGCGCGTGCCGTTGAAGCGGCCGCTGCGCGCCCACTCGACGTCGTCCACCTCCAGTGGCTCACTCAGCACGCCCCCCGTAGAAACCATCACCACCTGCATGCATGGCCACCGCACAACGACGGGGTCATTGGACGGACGGCCTCGGCGGCAGAGAGAGTGGACACGTGCCTGTCGCATTGGCAAAGGCCCGTTGGAGGAGCCTCTAGGCAACACACGTGGATGATACGAGACACTTTGTGGCGCATACCCTGTCAAGCAGCTGTCCGCATCCCTGCCTCTGCCTGGGAGGGCATGCCCGTGCCTCTTCCCCCGGTCACCCTCACGCTGGCCATGGCTGCGCTGTAGCTGCGGCACGAGTGGGTCCCCAGGCGGGGCGGGGCGGCCCACCTTAGCTGGCGCACTCTGTACCAGCAGCGGCAGCAGCAGCTCCGTCAGGGCGTACGGCCCCAGCGTGTTGGTCGCGAAGTTGGCCTCCACGCCCTCGGGCGTGACCTGCCGCTCGTGGAGCATCACCCCCGCGTTGTGCACGAGCAGGTGCAGCGGCACGCCCCGCGCAACGTACGCCGCAGCAAACGCGCGCACGGCAGCCAGGCTGGACACGTCACATGCCTGCCACACAAGGGGCAGCACGGGTGGGCCAACGCAGAGGACGCGCTGCCAGTGGTGGCGCGCTCAAGAGGCCCCTCGGCACCTGGGCGGCCAAGCTGTACAAGCAGGGGGGGCCGCAAGCTCCATGGCCAAGTGCACCGCTTCTGCAAACAAGGGCACAAGAGTTCAGAATTGAGGGGGGGTCAGGCAGGGGCATTTTGCCTGTGTGGAGAAAAGGGCGGACGGGGCGGCACCTCGCAGGACAGCCGCTGGTTGCCGGTACTGGCGGCGATTTCGCGCACCGCCGCCTCTCCTTTGGCCTGGCTCCGGCACAGGATGCACACTGAAGCCCCCCTGCAAGATCTTGC